GAGGGAGGAATGTCGAGATAGAAGATGACAAGATCCTGTCTCTTATACACATCTAGATGTGTATAAGATTTTTGTGTGTGTGTGTGCGCGTGTGTGCGCGTGTGTGTGTGTGACGCGCAACCTCACGCCCTGTACTGTCTTTCGTTCGGAGTGCTCGATGTGCGGAAAGAGGCCCTAAAAAACAGCAAGATGGGGTGTGCCAAGGATTTTTGGAAATTGAGTGTGGGGACACAGACGGAACTGAAATCCCCCGTGTTGGTTCCGATGAAGTAAGTCGGTTGCTTTCGCGCGTCGCGGAATGCACGCGCGGGCACAGCGCGAAAAGAGAAAAATCCAAATTCAATCCAAAAAGTATTGTCGAGCTTCCCACCGTGCTACGGCCCGGCGTTTAGAGCCGAAGGGTTTTGGCACGCTTCGCGTGTCTCCTTTTCGTATCAAATCCCGTCGTCGCTCACTGGTCAGTTTTGAGTCTGATGTGGAGGGTCTCAGCCGCGTGGCTCTTTCCTTATGCTCGTCTTCACTCCGTATTCTGTAGTGGAAGCCCTTTGCTTCGTAGCGATCGAAACGCTGGCACTCTATGCACAGGGTTCGGGGCCAATGGGGCGCCACTGCCGTCCACGGAATGACGATCAGCTCGTTAAAGGGGAGCAATATTGAGTAGGGTGGAAAGTGCGTGTCGATAATAACAAACCCAGCCTCTACGAACCCTGAACAACGGTTTGCCGGAGGGAAGTAGTATCGTCCGCCGATCTATGCGACAACTTCTCGTACATCCCACTTGCATACACGTGTCCTTTCCTCGTTGTAAGGAAAAGGCCGTGTTGATACGGGAGGTACGGGAGGCTGACGCCCGATCAAAGGGTGCTTGTCAGTCCACATGTCAATCAATTGCAAAAACTTCGATACGTCATCAAGGAAAAACAAGAAACACTCGCGCAACCACCAATCAATCATTTTTAATCACGAGAGAGAGAGAAAACACTCATCAACTGGATCATGCAGGTAACTGAGGGACTGGCCCGCGACTCAGGTTTCGTAATCCACCGCGGCGCTGATCCCTGGGCGCCTGGTTTCTCGAGGCTGCCCTGTAGATCGGTTGCAGATGTCGTGCAGCATAAGGCAGATGGCATGCGCAGGGCATTCAGAACTACAGATCTAAACACTCTTGCATTCTTGGACAAAGTCCCACCAAGGGCTGCATCTAATCAACACAAAAAGACGCGTATCTTCATACATACATTCACTGTGGAAGGTGCGAAAATGACAGAGGTATACAAGTTAGAAATCAACCGAGGGAATTGTACACACGCATCCACCGTTCACAAGGCGAGAGGATCAATTCCTTGACGTTTGGGGATTACCCAGGAAACTAATGGAAGAGTTCCGGAAGAAGTTCTTTCACACAGGAAAGCACACAGATTCATTCTCATCCAAGAGAGAGAGACAAACATCGAGACACATCATCATTCAAAGATAGAGGAGAGAGAGGGAGACGAGGGAGGAATGTCGAGATAGAAGATGACAAGATCCGAAAAGAGGAAGTTCGGCGTTGCCGCCGTACACTCACGGTCGAGATAAGGATCCGCAACAACAAAGGCGCATTCGCCGTTAATTCCAATATGGCCCCGGGCCAATCACCCACTCAACTTCAATCAATCGGTCCTCATGCCCACACCGACGATCCCGGCCGCCGCGTGCTAGCTCCCACCACTGCGAATGTCACCTCGCAGACGTAAACTCGACGCGGTATGTCCAGATCCCACTGTCCGTCGTGGCGATCAAGCGCGCAACCGGCCAGCCTATCGATAGCCCGACAGGACTTTCCGACTCGCATCAAACACTCTGCCTAGCCACTGTTTCCCGAAAGCTGGCTCGGGAGTCGAGAACGTAAGAGAGATTTACGGGCGCGTTTGCGGAATTTATAGTGGCGAGGAAGGAGAGAAGGGAGAGAGAATGCAGGGGGAAAGTCGAAGTGTAAGAAGAGAAGCAGGAGGAGAAGACTTGAAGAGAAGCGCGCTATAGAAGCCATGTTGATCCTTCGGGACTCAGCGATTGGCCAATCAGACTCGTCGCGCAATAGGCAGACCCTACCGTACCTCGCGTCTGATTGGTGGGCGAGAGTAATCGATGGATCGACTGGACTTCACAAGCTTTGCTCGAAGGGCGAGAAAAGAAAAGGCGCGAGAAGTAGAGCAAGACGGGTCCAAAATTTAGATGATCAAGAAAGGGGAAATGGACGTGCAAAGAGCTGAGCGGGAGAGAGAGAGAGAGGGAGAAAAACAGTTACGAGGAGAGAGAAAGAGGAGGGGGACTCGGAAGGAAAAAGGAGCGCGGGAGAGAGCGATGCAGGGGACAGAGAGGAGAAAGCCTTGCATGTGCGGCGCCATCAACAACAAAGAGAAAAAAAAGGCACCGAAACAGTTACAGCTTGCCTACGTCCTAAACCAATTCAAAATTGAAATCACTATATCCGCGCGCAAAAGAGCGGCGCGGGGAAAGAAAGTCCTACGCCTATTCGTATCCCCACGAAATTCCGAGAGTTTTCCCCAACGCGACCGAGAACATTCACACACAAAAACGACACGTCGAAGTTCCGCTTGTCCCGAAATTCCCAACTTTCGGGCCCAATTCCCAGTGCGCTCGCTAAGGCGCGTGTAAATTCCCGTGCATTTCCTGAATTGCAAAAAGCAGAATTCCAAGAATCAACCAAACTTCCGACAAAACGGGGGCCAAAAACACGGCACCCAAAATCAAGAAAACAAACGGGGTATCCGTAGGGTTGGTATGGTACAAGAAAAATTTGAACCAAAGGGGTACGAAAGATAGCACAGGTTCGGGAAGTAGTTCGTCACATATGTCATGCGCAGGGGGTTCCAAAATTATGCGATCTCCTGATTGCATGTTATGGCGGAGAAGGAGAGAGAGAGAGAGATAACAAAGTGATGAATGAGGAACCAAGCGTATCAACAAACGATCCAGCCAAAGTCCAGGTTGACGAGATCTTCAATTGCAATATTTTTCGTGGATCTGTTGGCTCGTGCGGCTGGAATCATCGATAGCCGTCCAGGTGACGCCATCATCGTCCGCCGGTTCTTCATGTGCTCTGCACCCCAGTTTGTTGCTGCCCGTCGAATCAGAGCGTAGGTTGACGTCATCGTCGATGGCGTGATCTTTGCGAAGCTTACTGATTCGTGCCATTTTCTCCTGCCGATTAGATGAAGAGAGGAGGGGGGGGGGAGTAGTCATGTGATCGGGATCTATTGCCTAGTTGGAATGGGCCAGTAGAGGGGGTACATGGAGGGGAGCTCACGGGGACGACGGGGAGGAAGTGGGGGTAGGTAGCGATTCATCACTTCGATCGTAACCGGAAGCTCCTCATATCGGGTGATCCGGTGGAAGCGAGGAAAGTGATCGCCGCTATGAGGAAGAGAAGCGAGGTAGTCGCGAGAGGAAAGGGTGCGGAGGAGCGCCGCTCGAAAGAACTCGTAGTGGCGACAGGCGGGGATTATCCCTGTGGCTACGCAGTAGACTTCTACCACGTTGCATCACTCCCATGCAGCGCTGAACAACAGGATATGCCAGCAGAACGTGGGGGTAGGGGGCTGAAGGGATGGGGGGGGGTAGACGGTAGCGAGTAGGCGGGTAGAGTAGAAGTCGCGGAAGAGATGGGGAAGGAAGGGATGGAGGGGGAAGGTGACGGGGGTGCGGATCTGTTCGAGGGTGAGGAAATCAAGGGGGCGGCGGGATAGCGTTCGAGGACGAAGGCCTGTGGCCCGCATCGGTAAGTGGGCGAACTGGGGGACGGGTGGGGCAGGAGGAGGAGGGGGATCTGCTCCGTCTCCGTCATGAGGTGCTTAGGGTAGCGGCTGCGGGGTCGCAATCTTCGGGCTTCGGCGGCTCCGGATCCCTGGTCGGATCGTCACCGATGCGCTGACTTGCTCCGCTGGCGAATTCTAGATGGCGTTTCCTGGCGGCAATCTCTTCTTGCTTACGCGCAGCCTCAGGATCTTCCGCCTCCGTGCCAGTACGCGCCTCTTCCTCCGCCAAGGCTTCCCACTCAGATCCGGTTTCTTCTTCCTCCTCTTCTTCTTCTTCACTCAGCTCGCCCTCGCTATACTCGCTATAGCTTCCTTCTTCCGCCGTTTCTTCGTCGTCGTCTTCTTCGCCGTCGTCGATCACCACTTCTTCCGCCTTCGGATAGAAGGCGTGAGGGATGATGTCGTAAGGCTTTAGATACTCCTGCCGTGATGGTAGCGTATCTATGTCCCTGGGCTCCTCCAAGCACGCAGTCCACTGAAGATACGGATCCAACGACCGCTCGAGAACGTACGGTGCGGGGCTGTCGTCACTTTGTGAAAAGATATCGGGCGAGAGATCGTCCGCCAATTGCACGATCGGCGCGATGAGCTCCTGCGCAATCAATTGGCGGCGGCCCGGCCGTACCGATCCAAAGAGAAAGTCGAGAAGATCGCCCTCGACGTTAGTCTTCCAAGCTTGTATGATCAGCAACTCTAAATTTTTGATCCACGCAGGATGCTCGCTGGTCTGCGTCCACGTCACCTGTACTCGGGCCAAGCAGAAGGACAGCTCGTTAAAAGTTTCGCGCCACAGTCGCCAATGCCCAGGATTAATAAGCAGGACAGAAAGAGGCTCAAACGAGAAGGAAAGAGAAGGATGAAGATCGGACTGCCAGAAGGTGGGGAAAAGAGAGGGGAGATCAAAGATGGAGAGAGGAGCGAGGGGATCGGCGTGGTTCATTGGGGACGCGGGAAAGGAACGAGGGTGGGGATCACAACTGGCGGTTCGCGCAGAGAACGATGGATCTCGCCAAGATCCGGTGCAAAGGTCGGGATGAGGTTGTGTCCTGGCCAGGCAAGACCATGCTGCCACACGTTGGACACCTGTTCTGTCCACTCTCGTAGCGAGGTTAAGATTGCGGTATGCCACCATGGATTGAGCGAACTGATGTCGTCGCTGAAAGCCTCAACCGTGGTGACGTGGCTCGTTCCGGCCCTTCCGGTAGCCGCTCACCGATGAACTGTGATTACTTCCGCCAGTACCACTGCCTGTGAGCTTCCTTTGAATCGAAACGCGGCGGTGGCACACACACCCACGTCGCAGAAGAACTGCGCCAAACGTCGAAGATCCGTATTAAGCCGTGGATGACGAACTTGCTGAATTTCCGAGATATGGCCACGTGGCTGCAACAGCTGTTCGTCAAGAGCCCGCTCTGTGATGAAACTCATGGCGAGGTCAGAGAGGAAGACGACGGGCAGAAGGGAGAGAGCGGAGAGGGAGTTAGATCGTCGTCGTTCTCCTCACTTTCGGAGGAGGGAGAGGGAGGAAGATGAGAGGGAGGAAGAGGACGAAGGTAGGAGGTATGCCGGACGATGGGGACAGAGCTATGGCTGGCACTAGCCTCAGGCGCGATGCGCACCGTGTTGGCGCCGTTAGGACCGAGCTCGACAACGCAAAAGCAACCAGAGAATTTGGGAGCGAGTTTCTGGTCGCGTGCACATTTACATACCTGCACCAGGTCCCCTAATTTATATTGATGCTAGGGCCCAGCATTTCCATTCCGAGCCTATTAGCTACGGACCTGCCTACCGTGGGCCAGATCGGTCATCCTTTGCCTTTTTCGTGCTAGCTTCGGGATGGCCTGCTCCATTAGTTTGTTGTACCTTTTGGCCTTGCCCTTGAGGGCTGCACGCGTGTCTCTACCCCGTGCTTCGGCAATTTTCGAGTTACCCCGGTAATCGACACAGGGGAGGCTATTAGTACGAAGCTGAAAAGGGGTAAACCCCGTGGACTCGTGAGGGGTGGCCCGGTGGATCCCGACGATCTGATATACGATCTCGGGCCATGGACGCGTGTGGTGTGCCGCTAAATTCCTGCATAGGGCGGTTTTAATCATACGGTTGGCATTCTCAGCCAACCCGTTCGACTGGGACACGTGGGGCGCCGTATGTCGGAGCGTGACGCCCCTTCGTGCGAGTAGTTCCTCTACTTCTCCCTTAAATTCGGACCCATTGTCGATTAGAATTTCTTCCGTATCTAGATGGGTATAGAGGAACCGTTCGATGTACGTGGCTATTTCTGCGGCTTTTCGGGTCTTACAGGGATAGACCTCGATGTACTTGGAAAAATGATCTATTAACACTAACAGGATAGAATATTCACAGCGGTTTGGGCCAGGTGGCACGTCGATATCGGTTGTGTCCATACTGACTCGTTGGAAGGGGCGCTCTATTTCCGTTGGTACTATCGTGTTTGGTCCCCGTATTGGGGCGCGATCAGCGGCACAAACCAGACAGTTGGCGACAATGTATCTGACATCATCTCGTATGTTGGACCCAAACCATCGGTTCAGGTCTATAGTTGCCTCCGTGACACGTATCGCGAAATAAGTGGCCTGTTCTTCATGAGCCGATCGGATCCAATCATATCTCTGGAATGGATGGGGAACCGTCAACCACGACCCCGATCCGTCAGTTTTATGCTTCTTCAAATGACCGTTGATCCACCGATAGTCCCGAGATCTCTCGGTTGCCCTACGTCTGTCGTGTTTGGTGAGGTGTCCCAATGATAATCCCGCTAATTTCGCCAGTAAAATTTTATCCGTCCAAACCTCCGCTCGTCGGTATTTTTCGCTGTATTCAGGGCCGTTCGTACGGGCGGCCTCGAATCGAATCTCCGTGGGGAGTTTGTTCGTTCTACACAGGGGGCACCTTCATTCCTTGCTACTCGTCCGATATCGAACGCAGGCCCCGTGCGCACAATTGACACACGTGGCACATTCTACCCAATTGACAAACCCAGTTTCGAAAGGATGACAATCGACCCCATAAACCCGTGCAATACACGTACAAAAATAGCAGAATTTATCGGGGAGGGTGCCAAAGAAAGCTGAGGAAGTGAGAGGGGCAAAATTAGTAGGAGAAGAAGGGGTTGCAGAGACAGGTGGGGTAGTCATGATGACAGAGGAGGAGGGATGTGACCGAATTGCAGAGAGGGTAGAACAGACAAATTGGTCCTCGTGTCACTTACTGTTTCGACAAGATTTCCACTTGGCTGTACCGAGGTCCAACCTCCTGTTCAGGTTCGTTCCACGGGATCACCTCCTCACTCTTCGGAACTTTCTCAGGCTGGTGCAGTCGTGTCAATCCGTCCCCATTCCCGTGTCTCTCGTGCTTCCGATGACAAATGTCGAAGTCCATGCTCTGCAGCATTGTTGCCCATCGCCCGATCATGCCAGAGTAATCCTTTGATTTCTTCAGAGCCAACAGGGGCTCATGATCGGTTACCAAGGTGAACATTCGCACGTACAGGTAAGCGCGAATGTGACTGATTCCCCAGAGAGCCACGTAGCATTCTCCCGTCGGAGTGGCGTAGTTGCGCTTGCAGGCGGACACCGATTTGGACGCATATTCCACCACGCTCTCAAATCCACTTGGTCCCACTTGGGCAAGGATCGCCGAAATTGCCTCTGGCTGCCAGTCAGTGATGAGAACAAAAGGTTTTTCGGGATCCGGTCTTATAAGGACCGGAGCTGAAATGAGAGCGGCTTTGAGTTTCAAAAACGTTTGATCACACTCCGGCGTCCAGATCAACGGTTGATCTCTGCGCAGCAGATTCGTGAGGGGTCCCGCAATCGCCGCGAAGCCCTTGATAAATCTTCGGTAGTACGAGGTCAGGACCAAAAAGGCGCGAACTTGCATGATAGTCGTAGGCACCGGCGCATCTCTGACAGCTGCCACCTTATGCGGCTCCGGTTGGAGCCCCTTGTTTGTTACCACGTGTCCCAGGAAGGAAATGGTGGTAAGGAAAAATTGGCACTTCTCAAATGCCACTTTGAAGCCCGCATCTCGTAATGCATGCAAAGCCCATTCGATGTGCTGCACGTGTCCCTCGTAGGAACTCGAGTACACCAGAATGGCATCCATGTACACAATTACGCAGTAGTTTATGATGCTCTGCGCCAAACGAGTCTTCCGCACGAAATTATGAAAAGTCATATTCATGGCTCGCTGAAAGGTCGCGCGGGCGTTGCAGATACCCATCGGACATCGAATCTACTGCCACGTACCCTCGAAAAGCAAAAACGTCGTTTTCGGACGATCTTCTTCTCGGACAAGAAGATGATGAAACCCATGACGAAGATCAAACTTACTGAAAAATTGAGCACTCCCAATCGCATCCAACAACTCATCAATCCGGGGGAGGGGGTAAACATCCTTGATCGTGATATCATTCAATTTTCGATAATCAATGCAAATGTGAATCCCTCCAGCCTTTTTAGGCACGATCACCACGATAAAAAACCATGGACCTATAGCGGGTTCGATCCATCCATTAGCTTCGAACTCCTTAATCCGCTGAAAAGCGGCTGCTCTTTGAGCTGATGAGTATCGGTAAGGAGCGCAGCTAATGGGCAGATGTTCTCCCGTGAGGATGGCATGCTCGATCACGTTAGTCAAGCCGATATAATTATCATGCACACTCAGCACCTGTGCATAACCGTTCAAAACATTGATTAGTGACTTTCGAAGTTCCGTGGGGACGTGGCTCGGTACGGTGATCGTTGATTCCCTAGGAGTCTTAAAGGGTATGTCGATCCAATCAACCGGCCGCTCCCTTCGATCATAGACACTAGAAAAGATAGAACTACTGGTGCGAACAGAAAAGACAGTCGCAATCATCTGTGATTCAACGGGGCTGATCATTTCAGTTTCTTTAGTTTCGGTGTCAGTTTCTGAGTCGGCCGAAATCTGCTCCACAGTCAGTCCTGTTAGGTCCGTCATCTCCTGCATTAGATCAGGCACATCATCTACCGGTGCTTCTGCTTCCTGTTTAATCAAAGCGATGGTCGACCCCGTCGTTAGTAACGATCTGGGCGGGAAAACAGAAACGTCTAGATACTGTTCCGTGTTGATAACGTGTTCGCAAGGAAAGTGCTCCCTCGTACAAGGTACGAGGGGGTTCCAAATCATCAGCCAGGTCAGACACTTGTAACATGGGTTCCCTGAGGAGGACTGAAGGACTGGCCTGGATTTTCGAAGGCGCAAGCGCGCCGTCTCCTGAACCCATGTGGAAGTTTTGGGCAGTGTCGGGGCACACTTGAAATTCTTCGGGAATTTCGTGTTCGAAAAGTTCGACCAGGTGTTTCCATTCATCCTCACTAGGCAGTTCTTCTTCGTATTCTTGTTCCCTGATTCCGCTACTGATGTCCGAGGAAGAATACTCATCGGGATCAATGCATCGAATCATCCCTATTTGGGCTGAGTTAGGAGTTCGTTTTATCGTTCGGGTGGAGATTCGCAAGGGAACAGTTTGAGGCTTTCCCCCAGTTTGCGTGAGCACCAGTTGCTTGGAATAAAAATGCAAGCGTGCGCCCACCGCCATCACCCAAGGTAATCCTAATAGTACGGAATAGGAGTGCACATCTATCATGAGTGCGTTAACGAGGACGTGTACTCGTCCGACTTTTACAGCGACATTCTCAATAATGCCCACGATGTTCATTGCTTCCTCGTCGGCAGAGACATAATTGTCTTTGCCAGATTGAGGAAGAATGGATCCAAGTCGTCCCGTCTTCCTGACAGTGTCTAATGAGATGGCCACTACAGAAGACTCTGTGTCGATAAGGGCGTTAAACGGCTTGCCCCAAACTTCACAATCACATTCCGCGCTCTTCCACAGCACCGGCCAAGCTCGTACGAAATGATCCGTCTCTGCTAAAGAGATCGCAGCTACTCGTGCTGCTTCGGGTTCACCCGTTTCAGGTTCTGGTGGCGCAACATCCTTTTTTTCCTTCTTCTCCTTTTTTAACATTCGCTGTATGCGCTGATACGTGAAGCGCTAAACTGTGCACCGGGATTAGAATCGCGATCGACCCATTTAAGATCATCAGGGGCCGATCAGATCGCCCCGATCATGCCTGCTAGGTGAAGATACTCGAGTGGATCGACCACGTCAGCAGCGTCAGAGGAAGAAGATCCCAATGTTGACGCTATTGTCGTTGAGAGGGAAGGCTGCTCATATGCAACGAGTTCTCCTCCTCGGGCCGTGTCCATCAATGCGGCCATTCGTCCTTGGTTTAGAGCAACAGCGACCACAGCCGGCGGGGGTTGATTACGTTTTGGCTGCGAACAGTCCCGGGCAAAATGTCCGGGCTGTTTGCAGTTAAAACACTCGATCTTTCCTGCTGGATTAGCCGGGTGAGGGAACTGTGGTGGATAGCTAGGTGCAGGCGGGGCAGGCAAGAGAGGAAATGGCGCGGGGGCAGGTCGAGCAGGGGCTGGGTTGGGCTTAATTAGCCTGCTCATTATTTGTTCCATCCGCTCCATTTGAGCTGCCTGCATTTGAACCAGGTTGCTCATCCATTCAGATTGCTTAGTAGTGACCGTATGGATCATTTGGGCAAGATGTAGGTTTGTTAGGGCCGGCGAGGGAGGTTCGTGGGAGATTCTGCTCTTAACTGCCGCTATCCGTTGATTCGTTGGGGGAGAGAAAGGAGAAACGAGCGGGATATCGGAAGTGATCCCGTCGGGAAGGTCATGGTCGGGGCGGGGATAAAACCGTTCTACCGCCCGCAGCCACGATCGCCGTTTAGTCGCTACATCCTGTATGGTGTCCGTAATATCTTCATCTCCCTGACTGATATATTTTTTTATATCAGCCAGGTCTAATTCCAACGCTTTAGCGATGATAGCGGTTAGCTGGTGTGTCTTTGGTGGGACCTTTTTATGTAACTTCCCTTTCAACGCCGGACTTCGTAGGTGATAGATGAACAAGTCTCGACTGGATTTCTCGTCTCGCCCAGATTTGTCCAACGTGGTTTGAAATCGATCCACGAAATCGGGCAGCAATTCCCCTGGTCCTTATGGCCGAGTTTTGAGCACGTATCAGGTGGCATCTTCACTGATCGTATCGAATCGAGCCAAGAATGTTTGTTTGAAAGTATTCCAATCTACCCACGTGTGCTTCCTGAACCAGTCATGCACTTTATTCCGAAGCAACAAGGTAAGAACGCGGGGAAGGTCACCCGCGCTGTATCCTTGAGCTTCAATGGCTTCCGCCCAAGCTTCGGGGTGGGTATGATTAGGGAAGAAGGGGAAGGGGGCGGGAATGTTAACCACTACCCTATTACCATCCACCATTGGTATAGCTGGTATAGCAGCACCATATATAGATCTGGTCACTGGACGATCTCGACGAGGGGGTGGGGGACTTCTTCTACCTCTCGCCAGTTCGACTTACTATCATCAGAACCGACACGTGTCGGCTCCGATACCAACCTCACGCCCTGTACTGTCTTTCGTTCAGAGTGCTAGATGTGCGGAAAGAGGGACAGAAAAACAGTAAGATGGGGTGTGTCAAGGATTTTTGAAAATTGAGTGTGGGGACACAGACGGAACTGAAATCCCTCGTCTTGGTCCGATGAAGTAAGTCGGTTGCTTTCGCGCTTCGCGGAATGCGCGAGCGGGCACGGCGCAAAAAGAGAAAAATCCAAATTCAATCCAAAAAGTATTGTCGAGCTTCCCATCGTGCTACGGCCCGACGTTTAGAGCGGAAGGGCTTTGGCACGCTTCGCGTGTCTCATTTTCGTATCAAATCCCGTCGTCGCTCGCTGGTCAGTTTTGAGTCTGATGTGGAGGGTCTCAGCCGCGTGGCTCTTTCCTTATGCTCGTCTTCACTCCGTATTCGGTAGTGGAAGCCCTTTGCTTCGTAGCGATCGAAACGCTGGTACTCTGTGCACAAGGTTCGAGGCCAATGGGGCGCCACTGCCGTCCATGGAATGGCGATCAGCTCGTTAAAGGGGAGCAATATTGAGTAGGGTGGAAAGTGTGTGTCGATAATAACAAACCCAGCCTCTACGAACCCTGAACAACGGTTTGCCGGAGGGAAGTAGCATCGTCCGCCGATCTATGCGACAACTTCTCGTACATCCCACTCACATACACGTGTCCTTTCCTCGTTGTAAGGAAAAGGCCGTGTTGATACGGGAGGTACGGGAGGCTGACGCCCGATCGAAGGGTGCTTGTCAGTCCACATGTCAATCAATTGCAAAAACTCCGATACGTCATCAAGGAAAAACAAGAAACACTCGCACAACCACCAATCAATCCTTTTTAATCACGAGAGAGAGAGAAAACACTCATCAACTGGATCATGCAGGAAACTGAGGGACCGACCCGCGACTCAGGTTTCGTAAGCCACCCCGGCGCTGATCCCCGGGCGCCTGGTTTCTCAAGGCTGCCCTGTAGATCGGTTGCAGATGTCGTGCAACATAAGGCAGATGGCATGCGCAGTGCATTCAGAACTACAAATCTAAACACTCTTGCATTCTCGGACCAAGTCCCACCAAGGGTTGCGTCTAATCAACACAAAAAGACGCGTATCTTCATACATACATTCACTGTGGAAGGTGCGAAAATGACAGAGGTATACAAGTCAGAAATCAACCGAGGGAATTGTACACACGCATCCACCGTTCACAAGGCGAGAGGATCAATTCCTTGACGTCTGGGAATTACCCAGGAAACTAATGGAAGAGTTCCGGAAGAAGTTCTTTCACACAGGAGAGCACACAGATCCATTCCCATCCGAGAGAGAGAGACAAACATCGAGACACATCATCATTCAAAGATAGAGAAGAGAGAGGGAGACGAGGGAGGAATGTCGAGATAGAAGATGACAAGATCCGAAAAGAGGAAGTTCGGCGTTGCCGCCGTACACTCACGGCCGAGATAAGGATCCGCAACAACAAAGGCGCATTCCCCGTTAATTCCAGTATGGCCCCGGGCCAATCACCCACTCAACTCCAATCAATCGGTCCTCATGCCTGCACCGACGATCCCGGCCGCCTCGTGCTAACTCCCACCACTGCGATCGTCACCCCGCTGACGTAAACTCGACGCGGTTTGCCCAGATCCCACAGTCCATCGTGACGATCAAGCGCGCAACCGGCCAGCCTATCGACAACCCGACAGGACTTTCCGACTCGCATCAAACACTCTGCCTAGCCACTGCTTCCCGGAAGCTGGCTCAGGAG